TTATCAAACTGAGTTAACATCTTTATCACCATGGATGAAAGAGCAATATAACAAGGTACAAAGACATAATAGTTGTAGGAAAGAGAAAGGATGGAGGGGAGAGGGCCGTGTGTGTGACATCCACCTCGTGTGGATCTGGCCGCTCGTCAGCAGCCTCGCTGGTGAGCAGCAGGAGATCGACGTGAGACACCTCACCTCGAACTGACTCTTGCTCGACTGCACCTTGAATCTCACCAGTGCGTGGCGTGGCCATTGTGCATCACATAGCAGTTTGTAAAATTGGGTACATGGCAATATGAGGAAAATAGAGAAACAATACACATCATGGCGATGCTGAACTTCAACAGCCATGCACAACGCAGCAGATCCTAAGCGCCCTTCTCCTTGCCGGCGCCAAACAATAGCTGGCGGTGAGGCGCTGTCGGCCGGCGTCACCTCTCCTACTGTGCCGCGGATCCGTGTCGTAAAAGATGAAGAATTGTCAAGTCGCTGCAGAGATGCAAATTAAAATTCCAATACATATCTGTTAGTATGCAAAATGTTTAAAACTAAGGTTGTACCTTGCAATGCACCACAACAACCAACGTTTTAGCATGCCATTTATTCCAAGAGCAGGATCGTAACATACTTTCAGAAAAGTGAAGTCCAGATCATACACTCATGAATAAATGCTTTGGTTTTCAACTGCCACAATGATATCCCCCCTACTGCAAGCCCCTGCCTATAGCTCTAAACTGAACCAACAAGTTAGCATGTCATTTATTTACAAAGTAATGCTTAGCAACCTAATTCCCCAAAGGCAGGAGTCTAGATAGTTTCAGAATGTGCAGTTTAGATTATTTTTTCTAGTATCAATTCTGAACATGACACAACAGTTTAGCTCCTTTTATTTAAGCTCACAGCATGTGATGATTTTTTTTTTTGCAGTTGTAATCGCAGTAGGTTTACTTGCACAATGCTAGTAGCTTATTCTTTCTGTATTCTGAAATAAAACAAAAAAACAGACCTTAGAAACATCCAAGTAGCACCAAAAGAATAAAACAGGGGAGGTTAGAAAATGCTCAAGCATCAGGATGGATGAGTAATTATAAAACAGAAACAAAAGGGCCTTCTTCCATTATTTTTTGTTCCCTGTCACTTATATACATCATAGCAACACACATGCATTTTAACTATAGAAAAACATAATTCCTAACTGAGGAACAAAGTTATATTAGAGCACCACATTTTATAAGCACTATACATCTATACTTACCTTACTTGGGTATGACCTAAGTAGGCTTGACATTCACCATGATTCATACACACAATGTACTACATCTGAGATAGAATGGTACCCACAAATTAAACAATAATCTACATAAATCAGAATTAAAATGTCTATTACTTTGCCTCTTCTACGCAATGGTACATATAGTTGGAGAAACATGAAAATGCAAATGAATAAATTCTCCATATTTTTGGTGATCCATTAATATTTGGAGGTATAAATAAGGAATAGAAAAATTAAGAAACAGTGACTTAATTAGTCTTTGACCAATATTTGAAGGTATAAATAAGTAGTCAAATTGGTATCCAATTGCCGGCTTGAGTTTCACATTTGAAGACCACTTCTTTCCATGGATTATAGGCATTAGATACTGGTTGATTTCAAAGTTTCAATTTACATGAATTGGAAGGAAAACAGATAGAGCAGAAAAGGAATTTATCAGGTAGTGGAGGAGCTCACCCATAGTTTAGACCCGTCGATCTAGCCGTGTGGACGCTGGATGTAGACAGAGAGCATGCATGCTCTTCTTCCTTCTCCCACCACACCACATCAGAGGAGGGGTTGGAGCAGGCTGTGGCATAGGTACAAGTTCAAAAGCGAAAAGGGAATGAAACCGTGACGCAATATAGTCACTACTCCAACACCAATAATCCTAAAGGTGGTTGTACTATACACTATAACCAACAGCTATGCATAAAATTTAATAAAAGCATTTGAGAAAAATAATAAGATTAAAATGACATTACAATTTGCTCAATAGTCCAATGCTTTGATTATAAAATTACTCCAAATAGATGACTGAACAATATGGAAAATTAATAAAGGTATGATGCTGATGATTTATTTCATATTAAAAGAAGATAAGTAATGGAGATTGTATTATTAGTAAATAAATAACAAAATGATGTACTTTTATGTAGAATTAAAAGATGGAGGGCAAAATAAATACATATGGCTATCCTATTCCACAATGAATAAGAATAAACAATCAGCCAAACTAAATCAGTCTATTTGAAGGTTTGTACTCCCTCCGTCGGTGCATTAGGCAACTAAGGAGCTGCATCGCGACCTAGGCACACACAGATGCCCAATGCACAGGAAGGAGGGAGTAACCTATGTCCTGATTAGTGACAGGCCATCAAAGCAAAAGTATATTCAAGATTTTCAATGATATAAATGTAGTTGAAATAAAGCTCCAGATTCAGTATGTTATGCTTAGTTCTTTCTAGAGCCAGAACATAATAAGAAGAATATTCACTATTTAGATAAAACAAGAAAATCACCTCAAACCACATTTTCTGCTAGCGGGCTTATCAATTGAGCTCACTTGTGATGTCATCTCTTCCTGAACTGCCATTGACATGTGCTGCATGGCAAAGGCACATAACCCTGTCATCAACAACATCGGTATTCTGAATAGTCAGGAAAGGTGCAACACAAAATATGGCTACAAATTTCTTTTCTCTGTAATCATAACAAGAACTGAACATATTACAAAAAGAACTACATCATCTCCCATCAATAGAAAAAATCTCATTGTCTTTGACAGAAATATATTTAATTTAACAACTATTTCAGGAAAGCTCATGCACACGCGTAGCATAATAACAAAACAACAGTTCCCTTAAAATTAGGTAAGAGGCGGCATCTAAGATAGCCTCGGCGAACAACAGGGGATGGATAGTCTATAATTTGAAGGGAACTATTGTTATAAACTAAAAAAATGATTCTGAACTGCAATAGTAGTGTAGCACAAATATACTGCTTTATGTATTCCGGTTGATCAGTTCATATCAACTTGACTTTCCAATGCTTGAACAATTGAATGAATTTTGCAATTGAAACTAAACACAAACTAACACCATCAAAACAGAGGCAATTGACGTGGTGCCACGCAATGTCTTATTGACCTTGGCCACCACACCAGCCTAAATTGTAAATAGATGCGCAAGCCAATCTCCGTACCTATAAGTATTCGGTGTAGGATAGTGCAAATAAGGGATATTAGCCTACAGAAATATGGGGTCATGGCAAGGTTGATCCCTTTCTTTTTCTATCATGTTCGTCTTCCTGAGTCCAAAGAGCATCCGACCCTTGCTTCAAAGATAAGGAGCCTCGCAAGGGTGACCAAAGCCAATATAGCAATCAAATGAGCCGATATCTCCTTGTAAGCATTGTGTTTATGTTGGTTATATCCTGCATTTGACATGAAACAGATGGTGTCATATTGAGTTGATCCACCGGCAAATAAAATCAAGGCATAAAGAAGTTGACTCCAGCTTGGGCATATGCTCACA